GTTGTTGTTGTTGTTGTTGTTGTTGTTGTTGTTGTTGTCAGATTTAGAATGTTAAACAATTTTATTTTATGAGGAGCTATGCATGTGTGAAACTGAACCAAAATTCAGATTTAAATTCAGAATCAAGAAAGCTTTTTGATGAGAAGTGAAGTTTGAAAAAAATCTTAAAAAAACACTTAGCTAAAGTTAGTGTTTGGGTTTCCCGAGTTATTCTTTAGTTATGCTGCTATGCAGATTATCTGTCCTCCTGATTCTGCTGGAGGTTTCTTCTGGTATCAGTGAGTCATGTCTTTCCACTGTCGCCAATTTGCTGGGGGGCCAGGGACTGTGACAAAGTGAAGATTTAACATGCTGGCTTTTCTCCAGGTAACTTTTACCAATTCACATTTTATAATCTACTGTATTCAAATATATTATTACTAGATTTAATAGGCTGTAATTAAATTAAAATCTGGATCGGTTTCAAACTGACTTTGGACATATTTTTGCTGCAAAGTGCCCTGACCTTTGTTTTGAATGGATGCTATATAAATAAACTCAGTTTAAAATAATCAATTGGATTGAACTTGATTATTTGAGATACTCATTATTTACACATAAACAATACATAAAGAATATATTTGATATTCTCAAACTTTTAAAACACTGCTCTACATGTTTTTCTTTTCATAATGTTTTTTTGCTACAAACCAAACATCTACTGGTAACTGCAATTAAACATCCTATTAGTCTATTTCAAGTTATTGCATAAAAGTTCTGCTTCTCTCATTAAACAGAACATGGCCCATTTTGAACTGTTTATTGTGTTAAAGTCATGGCATGGTGTGACACAATAAAAAAGTCAAGTCAGTTTTCTTTTGAAAAATATGAAACATTTATTGAAGTATTTCACATTACATGCTTGTATATAACATTTTGTAGAAGAATTACATGCAGTGTTATCCCACAGCTGGCATATATTTTATTATATTTTGAAAAGTAAATCTCTCATGACTTTAAAAGACCAAACCAAACACATATGAGATCCTGGAAAAGATACCAAACTCCTGAACACAGAAAAAAATGTAGATCTAAGACTTTATAAAACTGAAATCAACGTAGTTATTCCTTATTTTAATTTGTACTCAACAGATTCTAACACAAATGTTCTGTAAAATTTCAATATTTGAAGCTACATTTGTGAATGGGTATGATACATTTTTTATGGCTGTATACATCATTCTTTTGCTCAAACATATCCACAGTTATTTTATCATGGCTGTGGTTCTTACCCCCAAACCAACAATGTGACAGAACCTACTTAAAGATGCTTCACCACGCTGACACTCATTCAGCCGGCAGAATGAGCAGCTATGGGCTGAGTCCAGTGCTGTTTTCTTCAGATCACAACCATATCCTGAGCAGCAGGAGGCTGAGCAGGGCACAGATGTAGTGGAGGGTGTTTGGATGCCAGAGGGGGGTGCTGTTACACAGATCAGAATCACAGCAGTGGATTCGCACCCCTGGCAGCTCTTGTTGCTGGCAGTGTCTGGATGTAGCACAGCCGCTGGTCAGGACGATCCCCAGGGCTGCTGAAGGGACAAAGAGTCAGGAGGAGACAGTCAGTCAGTCAGGCACATAAGAGTGATGAGCTGGTGTTTGCCTCAGCAGAATAAAAAAAAAAAACAGCATAACTAAGCACCAAGTGGATAATGAGGTAGACATTTACAAATCTTGAGAGCACAAAATGCCCCACTTTAGCAAGCAGGGCATTTTGTGCCTCTTAAAGAAAGAGCAGCTTTATTGCACTTGTCATTCTGTGCAGAATAACCCACACACTGCTGATGTCTTTAGAGCCTGCTGCCAAAGGCCAAGATGTTTTTGCCCATGTCTGTGTCTTCATTTGCCTGACTGATAGTAAGATATCTCATGAACCACTGGGTGGACTTTAGTGACATTTTTGGGAAACAATCGTAGGATCAACACAACTGATTAATGTCTGGAGGAGCCAATCTAAATTAAAATAGCCACCACAGACAAATGACTTAAGAAAGCACAAATGGTTATAATTTAATCAATTTTCAACCCAGTGAGCTAAAAGTTTGTATAGTAGCTGAGACTGATTCCCAGTACATATTCTGTTTACTAGCAGATTGCACAAGATCATTTTAGAATTTATTAATAGCTATTTAGAATCAGTACTGTCTGTTGGCAAAATATCTCAGAGCATTGGATGGATTTTAATGGAGCATGTAGGAATCATTAGATGGACATCTACAACTGATCCATCCATCCATCCATCCATCCATCCATCCATCCATCCATCCATCCATCCATCCATCCATCCATCCATCCATCCATCCATCCATCCGTCCATCCATCCATCCATCCACTTTCGTTTTATCCAAAGTTGGGTCGTGAGGGCAGCAGCTTCAGCAGTGAAGCCCAGACCTCTCTTTCCCCAGCCACCTCTTCCAGCTCTTCTGGGAGGAGTCCAAGGTGTTCCCATGCCATCTGAGAGACATATTCTCTCCAGTGTGTCCTGGGTCTTCCGCAGGGTCTCCTCCCAGTGGGACATGCCTGAAGCACATCCATAGGGAGGCATCCAGGAGGCATCCTTAGATGCCCAAACCACCTCAACTAGTTCCTCTCGATGTGGAGGAGCAGCGGCTCTACTCTGAGTCTCTCCCTGATGACTGAACTTCTCACCCTATGTCTAAGAGAGAATCCAGCAACCCTGCGGAGAAAACTCATTTCGACTGCTTGTATCCATACAAAAATAAAAACTAAATAAAAAAACAATCTAAGGAAACCAGCAGATTGCATTAAACCACTTCATCACAGTCTTCCATCCTGAGCAGCACATTGGTGACAGTGGAGAGGAAGACCTCCCTTTTAACAGGAAGAAACCTCCAGCAGAACCAGGCTCAGTGAGGAAATGTGGTCAGTTTGTCCTCCAGCAGTCTAGGCCTGCAGAACTAAGGAATAACTCAGGAAACCTAAGCCTCACTGATTTATCAAACGGAAATCTCAAGTCTAGACTTAAAAGTAAACAGAGTTTCAGCCTCACGGACAGAAACTGGAAGTTGGTTCCACAAGAGAGGAGCTTGATAACTGAAAGCTCTGCCTCCCATTCTACTTTTAGAAACTTGAGGAATGACAAGTAAACCTGCAGTCTGAGTGCAAAGGGTTCTGTTAGGAAAATATGGAAAAATAAGCTCTTTAAAATGGAGCTTGGTTGTTGAGAGCTTTGATAGAAGTAAGATTTTAAATCTCTGGTAAGGCAGTAGGCAAAATGTGTTTCTTCAAAGAATGCTTGGTGTTTGATTTTGTAACAAATACTATAAATATACAGAATTAGTGGCATTAAAACACATCAGGTTTTTTCATTTATGTAGTTTATGCACTTAACTGATTGATCATTAGGTTTGTCAAAGTGTTAATTCATGTACCATTTACATTACATCTTAATTCAGCTCTTCAAAACAGATTTCATGGATTTAGGATTTATTTATTTTCCTCATGGATCAACTCAGGTCACTTTTAGAACCCCCTAAAATCCAAATGAGATCTTGGCGCCTGCAGACACAGATCAGGTTGTCATTAATCCAAATCCATGTTGAACACACAGCAATCTTGTCTCATGAAAGATGCAGCTCAAGCATGAAAAGCCTGTCAGATTTTTGAAACATTTTTTTAGCTTTTTTATTTTTTTGCTTTCTTTTGTTTGTTAGAGCCGTAATAAAATCATCCTGTCCTCTGCAGTTATTAGTATTTGTAATAACGTGTTTTGACAAGTTTTTGCTTCATGAGGTGGGGGCAAAAAAGATGTATGAAGATACAGTTTAAAAATAGAAGGACTCCGTATTTGTCAGGACGAATGTTTTGTGGCCAAAGGGCGACCAGAATGGTAAGACTCCTCTGGAACTTCTCCAGCACGTGTTTGATTTGCGTTTGACGGGGTCACATGAAGATTAACAGGCTGACTGAACACAGATTACAATCAAGACATTTCAACAAGATTTTGACTTGGAGCTCATCTCACTCTGCATGACAGGCTGCTCTTGTTGATGTTTGCTGTTTCTTCTTGCAGATGGGAAGACGTGCCTCATCAGCCTTTTCAGCGTGAACAGATTCTTCATGTGGGCGACAAAGAAACAGCTGGATGTCTCCTGCTCGCGTGGCAGGGGCACCATCAAGAGGGGTCCATGGTAGGTCAATGCCCCTCCTTAAAAAGACTGGCTGCTACCCCTATTGTCTTGTTGGAAGAGAAATTTTCGTCCCAGTCTCAGGTCTTTTGCAGACTCCAACAGGTTTTCTGAATGGTCTTGTACTTGGCTCCATCCATCTTTCCATCAGTGTTAACCATATTCCATGTCCCTGCTGAAGAAAAGCAGGCTCAAACCATGATGCTGCCGCCACCATGTTTGACAGTGGAGATGGTGTGTTCACGGTGATGAGCTGTGTTGCTTTGACACCAAACATATCTTTTTGCATTGTGGGCAAAAAGTTTGATTTTGGTTTCATCTGACCAGAGCACCTTCTTCCACGTTTGGTGTGACTCCCAGGTGGCTTGTGGCAAACTTTAAATGAGATTTTTTCTGGATATCTTTGAGAAATGGCTTTCTTCTTGCCACTCTTCCATAAAGGCCAGATCTGTGCAGTGTACGACTGATTGTTGTCCAATGGACAGACTCTCCCACTTC